GAAGGCATCAGTTTTAAAAATAAGTTCTACCAATTGTAGCATCTCACACCATTTGTCTTGTACACCTAGTCTGCTCAGGAGGAAAATGTGGTGAGGGAAGGGTTGGGGTACAGATGAAACAAGAGACATAATATGCTGATAATCGTAGAATTTGGACAGTGAGTACATGGGGGTTTGTTATACTATTCTGCTCACTTTCGTGTAAATTTTGGAATTTTCCATAATAAAAATTCAAAAGAAATTCAACTTAGAGAGGCATTTAGATACTTGCACACATTTATTTGGGAAAATTAATTCATTTTATACCCTGAAATTTGAGCGTAAACAGAAGAACAGAACATCTTATATTAATTATATTACTATACTTATGTTAATGATCCCACGGTAACTCTACTATTCTCCTAAGAATGGAGAACCAAAGCTCTGTATACATTTTTCTACTCTCTGCATTCACAACCAATCTTTTTATAACAGCCCTGGGTTTCTAGACTGAATGCCAAATATGCTTCCCGTTTAGATCAAATTTAGCTTTAACTAAAATAATTAGCCCTTGGTCCTAATTCTAATGGAAATGTAAGACTCTTAATATTCAGTAATGGTAGCACTATTAGATACTGCTGCTAACAGTGATTTATATGAAATAATTAGCACACTGTTTCTGTTGTAGATACATGCAGAATTTGTCCTAAACCAAAGGCAAAACAATAATAAAAACTACTGCCTTTTAACCTTTCCATGAATTTAAATAAAAAACGAGCGCTGGAATTGCACATTGATAAGGCCTGTTAAGCTTGGAAGAATATTTTACATTCATCTGTAGTTCATCAGACAGGTTCATGACCTCAGAGGAATTGCTGTAGCTCCTGCAGGTCTTAAACCGGCATGGGAGAAGACACGAAATATTATTTTATGATTAGAAAATTCTACTAGAATTGACAGAAACAAGGAAACACACTCCAATATTGAGTATATGCTCTGAAATGAGCACATAGAAAAATAAAGATATTGAATGGATTGACTTTTATTCCTCCAGGCACCTTAAAAAGAAGCAACTAAAAAGACCTTTGAACATAATGCCATAGTTTTATTCTTAATGCAGGAATTGTTAAGGGCCAGCCCCTACTGTGTGTCTGGAGGTGCACGCGAAGGGGGATCACCGTCTTGTTTCCCGGTTTTCTAGGTTATACGATAATCACACACAAAAAATCATGTTTCTCATTAAAACTTTTTTTTTTGAATTCTCACCAAGTACATGTTTGGAAGTATCCTAGCGTTCGTTTATCCTGCCTTCCCTCGAATTTCCTGTTGAAGGAACCGCGTTGTGTGAAAGCCATTGTCATTCGGCTACCACTGCTAGCAGAGGCCCCACTAGAAGCAGTGGGGTTCGTGCAGTTGCATCCTCATCACTCAGCCTGAGAAAATTCCATCCACCGAGCTGATTCATGCTACTTCTTTGGATCTGCTACTGGCAGCACAATAAGGGATGAATGAAATAAGCACTCGGCAGCTGAATGCCCTTAAAGACCACTTGGGAACTTTATTTGGTGCCAGATAAAGTGACCTGCCAGTGTCAGCTGCGGGAAGCATATTGTACTGGGCTCTGCAGTCTGTCCCAGTTGCCTATTCATTTCTGAGGAAATTTTCAGGTATTGAATTTTAATCCATGATGCCCAATTATAATTTGGGACCCTTTTACATTAGAGACTGGGCTTCACCCCATTTGGCAATTAAGTCAGAGCTGCCTAATACATGATTTTAATTTCCGGAAAGCAGGTGCTTCCTTTGGTCAGTTACCAATCTCAGATTTTCCTTCATTCTTTAGCTCAAACTATTTTGATTTTCATGCCCCCTGACCCCCCTTCTAGAAGTATTCACTGCATGTTAGATGATTTTCCTACTTAAGCCTGTAGGGATTCCCATAGGCTTCTTTTAAAAGTGTTTATGACTTTTTCAAAAATTCATTTTGTAGGTATCCATTTGATCTCCATTTTATAATAACTTGTTATATTGCCTTTTAAAGTAATCTGAATAAAGGTTTGTTTACATTGTCTAACGCTTGCAGTTATGAAGCAAGACTCCCCAGAAATAAGTATTGTCTGCATTAGCTTTCTTTGTCTTCTATTTTTACCAATTTAGTTAAAGGCTTCCCTAACAATTCAAAAATGATTTTTATTTGAGTTATTTTTACAACGATGTGTCCTCTCCAAACAATGATTTATTGTTCAAAATAAATTCTTGAGAGAGCACCTTAAAATAGGAACAACTCAAATATCCAGGGCCAGATTTGGAGGCAAATGCTATATAAGTCAAATCCTATCTGAGAAGAAGTTCCCGACCCTCCACACACATACATGAAGATGGGGCAGTCTTATCTTCCAAAACGACTTTGTGCAAGATAGAGGTAGTACCAATAGAGCCGTAGAGAGGAGATTGGGAAGCCAGATATCAGTTTGTGCTGATAATGACAGCATTTTTATCCCTTCCGTTGCTATGAATGAGCTGCCTACTTCACTACTTGCTTTGCCACATATGAATTATAAACTACTGTTGAACTATTGTTGCTGTGATGGCCATCATAGGGTTAAATTTAAACCTTTGGTGGCCATAGATGGACCTGTCCTTGGTAAGGCAAGTGAGTAAAACAAAACAAAGAAAAAGAACAGAGTAGGAAAAGACAGAAAAGAGACAAAGTAAGAAGGAGAGAGAAAGCTGGAAGAAAGGAAGGAAAAAGGGGACTTAAGATGGGGACACAGTTGAGTGCTACCATTGGTTGGCTTAATCTGCTCATCTTTTGGCTGTCCTCTGCAGGCTGAGAGCACAAATGCCTCCTACCTACAGGGACTCCCTTGAATACTGTTGCATAATTAGCTGAGGATTAGCAAAATTGATAGTCTTTAATGGGACCATGAGCAAATATTTCTTTTAAAAAGAGCGAAGCACCCAAATTCTGGATCTGAAAGATGCAAAATTAGAGAGATTTGCAAAAACACTCGGTTACCTAACAAAAGTATTCATTTAATATTTTCTCTTAAGGAATTAGCTCTCCAAGAATGTAATAAATGTGATTGGATTAAGACATGTGAAATGGTATGTGGTAGTGTTTCTCAAACTATGTTCTAAAAAACGTTAATGCCATGCTGGATACTAAGCGATGCTTCCTTAAAAAAAGCATGCCCTCATCAAATACATTTCAAGACACTAAACCATATTTGCTCTCTGAGTGGGTCACAATGCTTATTGCCCTATTATAGGCACTGAGAATTCCTGCAGTGCAGGGGCAGGGGGCGACCCATTTATGTTGAATCCAGCATTTTACAAAAACAAATTGGCTATGAAACTTTTTTTCTCCTTAAAACACTTAATGGTTTGCACTTTCTGGAACACCATTATAAAGTAGTGCATTCCAGGAATCGTATTGCTTCGTTGTCGTTGCTTTTGTTTTGAAGAGTAAAACTAGCTGAATTACAGGGTTAGTATTGACTTTGGGACTAGAATATTAAAGTTGAATACATGTGTTTAATGTGCAATTCATTAAGGTGGATATGAACCTTATACCTTATGTCATTGTTCTTACCATGCCTGTTTACTTTTCTGTATTCAGCCTCTAACCATATTAGGGCAGGACCCATGTTTTGTTTTCCATTGTATCTCTAAGAACTTGCGTAGTGCTTGGTACAGGGTACGTATTCAATACATATTTGTTTGAATAAATAAATGAACACTGTAGTAGACATCTTTTTAAGTTATAGATATAACCATAGTAGAATGTGGGTTTTAAAACAATAATTTGGGCCTCAAAGTAAAAAGAATAGAAGTAAAAGAATAACTAAATTTCCCTGGTCTTTAATAGCTTTGTCAGAGGCCAATAAATTCCTCACCAATTACTCTATTGTCTGATGCTTCATTGCTCCTGTTAGCCGGTCTGTTTGAAGTCAATGTTCATTCTGTTCTATAATTTTCCAATTTGTTTTTAAGTCTTTATATCTTCAATTATATTCCAATAGCCATTTCTTACCTGCCCTTTACTTTTTGTTGAATGAATTCTTAAAAGCAAACTAATGCTGAACATCATATATCACAATGTGCTCTCAGAAACTTACTGAAGAGACAAGAAAAGGCAGTGAAGGCCTGGGGGTGAGGCGTGTGTGGTACAGAAGGGGTAAAAGACATAAGATGTTTAATTCATTCAACAAATATTTACTGAGTGCCTATTCTATGCTGGGCACAGTGTATAGTCTAGACAATTCAAAGTCAGACAAAAATATGAAATATTCATCAGACAGATATCACCAGAATTAAGAATTTTCAAAATTTCATCACCCCCCCCAAGTCAGTTTATACTCTAGAATGACTTGATATTTTTAGAGCAATGATTTCATGTGGAAATTGTTTGTCTTATCTATTTTGTTCTGTTTTTACAGCGGTTCACCTTTTCTATCTCGACAATGCCAATTTGCCTGAAATTGTACAATATTTTATGGGCCAGGACAAACCACTTAATATGATTCTGTCGCATAAAATTTAAAGTCCTTTTAGTTACCTTCAATCAAAGAAGTAACCATTCAAAAGTCTACTTCAAGAATGGTGTTGACCAATGGTTGGTAAACTATGTCCTGTGGGCCAAATATGTCCTATCAAGCATGTTTATAAGTAAAGTCTTATTGGAACACAGCTACACTTACTTACATATTGTCTATGACTGCTGTTCTTTCGTTCAGTATTAAGTATAGACATGAAAAGCTGGAATGTCTAAATTTTATGTCTAAGTTTTTACATTCTATGCTGGGATTATAGGGCTTGTCTCTGGAAGTATTATACATGAGTATAGATTGTAGGCAGGCTCCAAGCTGATCTATTTCCTGATATCCATTTTCTTGTGTTCCCATCCTACACAGAATAGGGCTGACTTGTATAATCAATAGGACATTGTGGAAATTATGGAGTGTGACTTCTGAGTCTGGGTCATAAAAGGCATTGTGATTTCTGTCTTGTTCTGAAAGAACCAGCTATTATGTCTAGGGGACACTCAAGTAGCTCCCAGGAAAGTCCATATGACAAGGAACCGAGCTATCTGCCAACAGCTGATGAGGAACGGAGGCAATCCATGAACATCCAGTGAGTGAGCCATCTTAGAAGCACACCCTCAAGTTGCAGTAAAACCTTTTGATGATGGCAGCTCCTGCTGACATCTCCACCACAACCTCCTAAGAGACCTGGAGCTGGAACCACTCAGGTGAGTCAGTCTTGAATTCCTGACCCTCAGAACTATGAGATAATAAACGTTTACTGTTTTAAAGCCACTAATTTTTGGGTAATTCATTATACAGCAATAGATAACTAATATGATGTAAGAGAACGTGGGCTCTGATGTCACACAACTTGTGTTTGACACCTGGATCTACCACTTGCTAAGATGCATGACTTTGGGCAGATTATTAACTCTAGTACTTAGTCTTCTCGTCTAGAAAAATGGGAATATTATTGCCCACATTTCACAGAATTGTTGTGAAGAATTCAAGGAAGTAATGAGTGAAAAGATTGTTACATAAATGTTAGTGACTGTTGCATAAGTGTTAGCAGTTATTTTCTTTTCATTATTGTCAGAATGGACTCCAACTATCCACCTAAAGATTCTTCAAACGTCTTTTGTTTTTTGGCAACTAAGTGAATACATAGTAGAATTTTGAAGGCCTTTTATCCCATGTACTAGAATTCATACAACTTAGAATACCTCAATTGAATGTGGGGGGTCAGTAGAGCAAGTAATTAAGAGAAAAGGCTATTGTCAATATATTGGAAAACAAGACATATATTAGTACTGCATAATATTTCATATAAAAATAATAGAAGGTGAAGAACACGCTGCTACCCAAGAAAACAGGTAAAACTATATAGCCTAACCCCAGCCACACGTTTTCAAAAACAAAATGACAAATGTAATTTTTGGCCTGATTTGCTAAAGCCTAAACTACACATATTGGTTTTTGGTAAAAAATAAAAGATAAATAGCCAAATACTATGATGCTTTGCAGGTTGCTTGAGTTATCTAACCCTTCTTTAATCCAAGGGATTATTGAACAAAACCGATGTTCATTCAAAAACACTTATGAAATCTGTTGTGGATTACCAATATCATCAGTTAAACCTGTTTCAAATTTATTGCTTTCATTCAGGTTAAATAATAAAAGGGTCCATTTGTCCCACCACATGTATATACACGAATTCAGCTTTCATCATTCCCTACAAGTTTAATCCAGTGATTTATGTTTTTTAACGCATGTTCAAGGAATCTGTTGAAGAAACTCATCCAGACAGACAGAAGAGTTAGATGGGATTAATAGGGTGTATGCAGGATTTAAAGCTGGTTGATTCAGTTCAGAGTAAGTTAAAAAGAGAAAAAGAATATAACACTGTAACCCTCCTTGAGGTTCTAATCATTTTAATGACTTTAGCAAAAAAAAAAAAAAAAAAAAAAAAACAAAAAAACAAAAAACCAAACAGGCTAAGGTCAAGAAAGTTCACAGACAAGGATCCCCGTTTCTAGCAATACATTACATGAAGAAAAGTCATTGCTTCAGCTGTTCCTTTTTTTCTAACAGTGAGAAACACTGCTATATTTCTCTTAGAAAAAGTCTGCCTTCTATATAAGTCATCATATTAATGATTAAATCTGAGGTTTCAGAATTCTTGATTTCCTTGGTGAAACCATTGTATTTCACGTAACACCACAACCAACAGCAAAAACTAAGAAAAAATTGGGCGTGCTGACTTTATTTTTAAATGTTTATAGCCAGGCAATGTATTACTTTTGAGATCCTCAGAGAGCAACTGCTCAAATACAAAAAAAATACTATGACTTCATCTCATTATTGATGACTTGAACATTTAAAAACATTCAGTTTATGTCTTGCAAGAGCAAAAATATTGGAATATGAGGAGGAAAAATCTTCTGTTTTCCCCAGTAAAGCGAAGTCCATTCCACGCTTTCAGGTATTTTTTTTTTCAGTGATATTCTAATCTTTATACACATTAAGAACTTCCTTTGATAATATTGTTTCATTAGTGTAAAATGTATTTTAACAAATATGCCCTTTTCCATTAACTTCTTGCCAAACACAGAGGACAAATGGAGACTTGATAAGCATATTTTAGTGCTTCATTGACCCCGATATGTATTTCCAACCCTCATTTTGTTACAACTTTCATAGTTTAATGGAACACCTTGGGCCATGAAGTGTTTTGTGTTCATTAACTTTTAAAGAGGAAGAGATATGCTATCTGATTATTAGCATTTGGGACAGAATATCAAGTGCTCCTCATATTTTTCTGATTCTACCCACATCACAGACTAGATATAGGGACATGGCAAATGGGAAATAGAATTCGGTGTGTCCAACCGAACTTTGCGCGATGGGGAAATGTACTATACCTGTGGGGTCTTCACTGTAGCTGCCGCACTTGGCTGTTGCACGCTTGAAATGCCATTAATACAACAGAGGTGCTGGATTTTTAATTTTACTTGTACTAATTTGTTTAAATTTAAATAGCCACATGTTACTGGTGGCTGCCACCCTGGGCAGCGCAGGATTCGATGGCTTATGGTCAGATTTTCAAGAAGAACAGCTGACTCCACAACAATTGATGATCTTAGTTTGTAGCTTTGGCCACTCTTATTCCTACATTGATAACGTCTAAAAAGATCAACCTTTGGTTGTTTTTAAATACCATAGACTTAAATTTGCTAGAGAATGTCTGCTCTTTGTAGTATTTTGCATATTCAGACACCATGAGATTTAACTGCTTTCTATGAAAAGTTGCACTGCTCAGATAAAATTTATATTTAATTGTTTTCAATGTATTATTTATTAATACAACTGGGGTTCTTTCTTGTTCAATATTATCGTTAGTTTAAAATTTCCTCAAATAGGGGCCCCTGGGTGGCTCAGTCAGTTAAGCGTCCGACTTCAGCTCGGGTCATGATCTCACAGCTCATGGGTTCAAGCCCCACGTTGGGCTCTGTTATGACAGCTCAGAGCTTGGAGCCTGCTTTGGATTTTGTGTCTCCCTCTCTCTCTGCCCCTCCCCCGCTTGTGCTCTGTCTTTCAAAAATAAAAACAAACATTTAAAAAAAAGAAATTAAAAAAATAAATAAAATTTCTTCAAACGATTTACAAGAATTATCTTCAGAATACATACAATGCTATCAGATCTTAATTTCCTACTTATATGAAGAGGTAAAATATTTATCTCAGGCAAAATATGCCTGGAGATACCTAATATCATAATTATTTAAAATGTCATTTGCATGATGTCTTGAGTTCAAGTAAATTTGTTGAGTGAAAGGAAAGAATAAATATGAAAGTTTCAACAGACTCCTGCATTTTTATAATGGGTTGGGGTTTGACTTATGTTAATATACCTTTGATCCTTATTACTTTATTTTTTTATTAACGTTTATTTATTTTTGAGAGTGAGAGAGACAGAGTGTGAGCGGGGTACAGGCAGATAGAGAGAGAAAGACATAGAATCTGAAGAGGCTCCAGGCTCTGAGCTGTCAGCACAGAGCCCAACGTGGGGCTTGAACTCACAAGCCGTGAGATCATGACCTGAGCTGAAGTCAGACACTTAACCGACTGAGCCACCCAGGTGCCCCTTATCCTTATTACTCTAGTTGTGAAATTTTTAAATCATCATTTCATCTTTTGTTTTTAGTTTCTACAGTGATGTATTGCAAGATTATGGGCAGGGCATTCAGCTTCAAGTTTTTTGTGTATTTGATTTCACTTAAATGGGTAATGACATTATGATCTGCTGGCAAGTTATTTAAAAACTCTGATTGACCAAAACTAGCTAGGAATAACCTAATAGCAACCAATACATATTTGTGGGAGTAGGAATATTTTTTAAAGTTCATTGAAATACCCCAGAATTTCCTTTCTTGTATAACTCTGTATGCAAAATCCTTTCTTCGTTTGTTTATTTCTTTGGATTTATATATGCAACCAAATTCAGAGAGTATGCTGTGTCTCAGTACTCTAAATTCCTTATTTTTCTTTCTCAATTTTTGTTATCTACAGATAAGCTCTGTCGTGTACCCCACAAAGGGCTGCAGTATCTTAACTATTCCAGCCCCAATCTATTCTGCACTGTCAATCACATCACCTCCCAAGGTGCTTCACTGCACACAAATCAAGTTTGAGTCAAGTTTACTTCTAATCAATAGATCCTTATAGATTGTTTTAGTATACCTAAATCACTTCCCAGAAAATATCTTGCCATCTCATTTCTAATGGGAAAACATTAGATGAGATTTCAATCTGGGCCACTAAAGAAGAAAGGCTAATGTACTCTTCTGATCCATCAGGGCCCTAAACTCCATGTAGTTCTTACATGAAATGGGAAAATGTTTTCTCTCAAGTCAAAGACACACACAACGGGAACATTGTAACTTGGGGGGCAGTGGAGAATGAAGAAAAGGGCTGAAGGAAGTGCCTGCTGCTAGATTGTTTCCACACTGTGGAAAGCTTATGCATTGCCTTGAAATCTGCAATGTGGTCAGGCACGCGAGTTCTAAAGTGAAAAAAAAAATCTGGAAATCTTTTTTTTTTTTTTTTCATTTTAGTAAATCAACAGCAAATGTAGCTACTGATGCTACTTTGAATGTGATAAAAACACAGTCCATTTATTATCCATATTCCAAAGATATTTATTGCTCTAATAAGACAGTTAAATAGTATGCTAAGCAGCTGTTCTTAACAATCTGTCCTGTTCTAGAGCTAAGGGGAGTACTGAGAAAATTTGTATTTAGATGTTGTGCTTTCCAGTTAACAAAATGCTCTCATACAGATCATCTTATTTAATCTTTGTAGCAGCACTGTGAGAGTTAGTATGTCCTTGAACCGCAGTCAGGAAACTGAGGCTGTCATAGACAGGGAGTTGCCTGTGTTCAAACAGCTGGCATTCTAGAGATGTATCTTTAAACATGCACAGAAGATCCCAGAAACTGCCTTCTTCTCATTATAATGTACCACAAAAATGGTTACTTATATTTACCATTTTACTTTTCTGATATTTTTTTTTTTGTTGTTAACGTTTATTTATTTTTGAGAGTGAGAGAGACTGAGTGGGAGAGGGGCAGAGAGAGAGAGAGAGAGAGAAGGAGATACAGAATCTGAAGCAGGCTCCAGGCTCTGAGCTGTCGGCACAGAACCCAATGCAGGGCTCAAACCCACA